CTCTGCATGTGAGCACAATAATTAGATAGGTATAACTTTTGAAAAGTATTAACCAACTGAAACAGGATTGCATAAAGCTTGTTTGTTCGATTTGGTGGGATCACTAACCAGGTCCTTGATGATCTCTTGTATCTGAGCCTGAGCCTGCTCCACCTCCTCTGTCGGCCCCTCCAGACTGATTCTCTCCTCGCCGTCTGTGAACTCGATGTGAACCTGTGAGCAGAGGTGACCCAGTGTAAGACCTTGCTCTACAGCACCGCCTTGCATTAAACCAGTGGATCTGCTGCAGTACATTATAGAAAAGTTTTGTGATTTTTAAGACATTTATTTTACTGAACTTTCTTTGTTAAACTGTTGGAAAAAGATCAATTGAGAAGGTGGGGTTGAAAAACATTCTTTTAAATTAAAAGGAGGCCCACCAAGAAAAGTTTCTGAACCACTGCATAAAATGTTAAACCGGTCAGAGAACGGGGGCGACTTACCCGCGGTAGCTGCTGCGTGATGCGTCCGATGTTCTGCCCTTTCTTTCCGATGATGAAGCGATGGAGCCAAGCTGGAGCGCTGACCTCCACCACCATCACACTCTTAGCCTGTAGGTACGGCACCAGATTAAACAAGGTCCTAACAACCAACAGAACCGCTACTGTTTAACTGGGTTTTTAACGGCTTTGAAAAATTATTTTAACACTTTAAAAAGTCTATAATCTATCTTATCCCAGTTAGCTTTGCTAGCAGTATTATTATTTAGTTGAAAACTGGCTAGTTGAAAACTAGCCAAAGAAATTTGTGTTACTGCTCTGACCTTGGCGTAGACCTGTGTAAGGGCCGGTCCCAGTTTGTCGGGCTCCCCTCTGAGGATGATGGTCTCTGAAGCAGAGTCCAGAGGAGGCATCTCCACCGACACCCCGGTGGTCTCCAGGATCTCCTGCAGAGTGTTGCCCTTTGGACCGATGATGTACTTGTGCTGGGACTTCTTCACCTCCACAGAGATGGTCGTGGTCTTCCTCTTCTGCGGATCGGAAAAAGAAAAAAAAAAAAACAAGTAAACATCGGGAAGCATAAGGAACTGTTTTTCTCTTCACTTCCCCTCTGCCCCATCCATCATCTACAAACCCTTCCTCTCCATAATGGATGACTGATCACCTCATCACAGAGGTACAGTTGAGCAAAGTTTGGCCGCTCACCTTGTCTTCATAGATGGCTCGGATGCGGTTGACAGCCAGAGCGACGGCCTCCTTCTCTCCGGTGATGACGATCTCGTCCTTAGGCAGGCTCGGTGGTGGGATGCTGATGCGGGCGCCTGTCTCCTGGCTCAGCTCCTGCACCAGCCTGTTGTGGGCGCCGGCGATGAAGGGGTGGAAAGCTTTCTCTAGAGAAAGACGTTCCACGGCGCGCTTGTCCTAGACGTCCAGTGAGAAAAAAAGATCAAAAGTCTGGAACTTTAACAAAATACTTCGATAAAATTCCAGACATTTTCAGTCTCGATGGAAATCCTGTTAAAATAGCCTCTCATAGGAAAAAATGGACTCTGCTCATCTGACCAGCTGCAACCATTGAGATCTAGAACCGCTTTTATGAATCCAACCTTCCCTCCCACTGACCTGCTCTGCTGAGATCAGCAGGATCTCATGGCGAGCCTTCTCGATGCCCTCCTTGGTGCCGGTGATGCGGATGTTGGCGCTGGGGTCGTCGGGTCGTGGAATAGCGATCTTGGTGGCGGTCTTCAGCTCCAGCTCCTGCAGCTTCTCACCATTCTTACCGATTACAAAACGGTGGTGCTCCTTGGGAATGGCGACCGTAGCTGACGCCTGCAGAAACAACACCAAAAGGGAGATAAATAAACGTTGTTTTACAACGAAATAAAGGAGATTAAAATGAAAACTTTTATGGTGGATTAGCATTAAATAAAACTCGACAACTGATCAGTGAACAGAGTGAGCAAAGAGGACAAAATGTTTCCTTGCAGCTTGGTCTCAGAAACCACAGCTCAGCTAAACGGCTGAACTTTAGTGCGGCAGCAGAAATAGAAAGCAGCATATTTGCTGCAGGAGCCTTGAAAGGGCCGCCATCCCCAGGACCTGACGGTCAGTGTTTTTAGCTCCACCTTTAATCCGTAGACAACCGACCTGCAGAGATGGGGGAAGTCTTTTTTTATTATTGTTTTTGTTTCTCTCACTTGCTAATACTTAGTGTCTGAATGAGAGACTGTCAAGGTTTAAGGGCTGAGAAAATCCATCAGTGTTATTGATGTGGCCGGATGTCAGAAACAGACACGGGACTTCAGGAAAACCTGAATCTAAAAGTATAAAAAGCAGGAATGGTACAATTTAACAGCTAAGAGTGGAGAGAGGGGGAGGACATCATTGCCATGTTTTCAAGTGAATTTCAAAATGCTGATCCATTTTAAAAGAACAATGGAAACAAAAGAAAGCCAGGAGGATTCATGGATTCATGTTCAAGCCACACAAAAACAAAAAAAAAGTAAAAATTTCTTAAAATGATTGTATTTCTTCTAAATTTGAGCAGGTAAATAAGATTATCTGCTAGGGGAATTTGTATTTTTTTTACCCTTAAAATAAGATAAATGCATATTATCTACTTGAAATAAGAGACTGCAGTTGTTTTTATCTTACAATACATTTAATTTGTTTTATTCTATTTGCAAAGAGTCTCATTCACCTTAATTCAACAAAAAATGACGACCGTAACTAAGATTTCAATTTTGCAGTGGCGTCCTCTGCTTGTATTCTGTTTTAGTTTTTAATTTTTCTGTTGCTTTCACAACACTTTAAGGCTACAAAATCCAATCTCATTTGTTTATATATACACCAGTATGCATTAAAATAAAAGCTTAAAAATCTGTCAGGTGGGTCAGTTCTGTTTCACCTCTCCCTTTATAAAGAATAACTTGCCATCTGGTTAACTAGGACACTGCTGCTGCTCCAAGTAAAAAAAAAAACAGACAATCTAGAAAAAAGGTTTGCCAGGATGAATTGATTTCATTCAAGAAAATAAAACAACCCCCAGTTGAAACACACAAGCTGCACCATCTCCTCTACTGAATGATCACCTCTTTCCCTTCTAGAGCCACAGCCTTCAACCTTAGCAACGCAGTACATTGAATAATGAAACTAGAAGGAGTGCAGAGTTATAGAACTTGCTGTTGCAATGGTTGTGTCATACAAACTTGCCAAATATTTTTTTTTTCCTTACTTGTAATTCTTATTCACATTTATGGTTCTCTTCTGCATTGGGCTGCCAGCGATCTGGAGCCATTCGAAACCAAACTGAAAACAAGGGAGCATAGATCTTTGAAAAGCCTGACCTGCCGGGACTGATTTTGTTTCATAACTGACACCAATCTGATTTTATTTTTAAAAAAAAACATTGTAAAAATAACTGTGAGACAATACAAACTTACTTTGACTTTACCTGAGGTAACACACTCAGATATAAATAAAAGCTCAGAGCTTCAACATGGCTGATTTTTAGAACTTGGGAGAGGCAGAAAAGATCGACTTGTAATACAAGTCTTGGCTGATCGCCTGAAATCAAGGAAATCACAGCCAGCTGATTGATCAGTGCACCACTATTGATAATCCTTGTTTTGAACATCTTCACATGATCACTGGAGAAGAGGATGCAATTTTGCTAATAAAACAGCTGTGAGACATCTCTTCTCTGCTTTGCAACCCCCCTCTCAGCCAACTTCCTCCACAGGACACGCCCCATGGAGCTGAGAACAGTATAAACCACAGCATACAAGATTTCTCTCTCTTTCCGTGAAGCTGCACGGGGGTTCACATTGGAAGAGGAAACCACCATGGAGACCCAGTCTCAGGGTCAAGATCTCCAGAATGACCAAGGCTAAGTCATGATGGCTGACATTTCATAACCAAACTGCTGCAAAACAGAATCTTTGCAACACACTTCTGTGAGTTTCAGAACTTAAAGAGTCAGAGTGGAGGTGAAAGCCATCTAAAGCAGCTTTTCCCTTAGTGTGAGCCATGTGGGACAAAGGAAAACCGCCCTCTGTGCAAAATGGACATCGGCAGAGGTATAAGGTCTGGCAGAGTTATGTAATTTTGATAATTTCATTTGTTTAATGATGAGTAAAGACAAAGCTAACAGGATGGACTGCATGCTATGCTACAGTAAAATGTTTTGAGCTGTTGTTGAAGCTTGGACAAGCTTTATTTCACTAAGGGTTTAAACACAGACATAACATTAGTGTTCATGTGCTCCTCATTTGCTCATTACATTTCCATTACCAAGTATGACCAGAATTCATTTAATGGAATCCTTATGTCTATTTTATGCTAGCTATTTCAAAGATGGTAAGGAATCATTTAACTAAAAGTTACTGGTTCCTGATTAAGCAAATCATTTAATAAAACATTATTTGACCAAATAAAGTTTTATTCACCTCATGGATTTGCGTTTTGAACTGGTTGAAAACATTCCAATTTCTCTAAATTAGTAAAAAGCTAATTTGATCACATCCCAAAGTCTTCAAGATGAATCATTAGTTTTCAAACACAAGGTCCAGCTAAACTGTGATATCACTGCATCAGCTCTTTGATTATGGTTTTCAACCACTGACGCAGAGCTGAATGAGTTTTGTTAATAAATACTTATATTTTGAATGGAAATGTATGGTGAATTTCTTCCGTATACGTTCAGAATTATCTGTTTGACCATGATTTGAGCTCGATTCACACTTTCATTTGTTATTCTAACACACAGCTAGTAGGGAGTGTGTTTATAATATATATATGATAGTCCAAATAACAAGAAGAAGGTGTTCAGGTTGGGATATATCAAAAGTACACTTATAAAACACAAGAAATGCAGCATCATGCTGTGGGAATGTCCTTCTGTGGAAGGAAGCAGGTCAGAGATGGTGCAAAGGTGGATGAAGTCAAGAGGCAGAGCCAACCAAGAAGAAAAGAAAGAGGAGTGAGGTATTTCTGCAGGACCAGAAACACCACAATATGGTTTAGATCAGGGGTCTGTAACCTGATGTAAATGGCTCTTAATTGGGGTGAAAATTATATAAAGAACCAGCTAATGTAGCATAATAACAAACAACAGCCTCAGAACCTTAAATAGGGTTTTTAAAACCTAAATGATTGAAACATTGAAACATTGTGCTTTTCCTTAATCTTAAAGCCTAAAATATAGCATATATTTAACAAAAATCAAAAGCTGTGTTTTATTAAAAGGTTATGTAGTATTTAAGGCTCTATACTATGCCTTAAATACTGAACTCTTCAGATTTTAAAGGTTGCAGACCACTGGTTTAGATAAAAGCATGTTCATGTGTTAGAATGGCCTAGTCAAAGCTCGGACCTAAATCTAATTAAAAAAATGTGGCCTGGACCTGGAGTCTGCGCTGCAGGCATTCGGTGCATGCCTTTAATTTGTGGGTTTACCTGCGTCTGCAGACGGGCCACGATTTCCTTGCGAGCTTTCATAACTGAATCCAGTTTGCCGGTAACCATGATGGATAAGCCCTGGTCCTTAGCCAGGGACAGCTCAATGTGCGCTCCAGTCCTCTGCATGATGTCCAGACACACCTTGGCTTCCTCTCCTTCCCCAAACTGGCTGTTGTCCTTATAACGCCGCTCCTCCAGGGGGACGTGGAACACCTTAGCGGAGGCAGATTCATGTTTCATTAGACTAGTGCTAACAGCGGGGGTTTTTCAGAATCTCTGTGTGCTTCACGCTGAAATCCTCACCTGGGTGATAACAGAGGCCTTGATGGGGCGGATCTTGCTCCCCCATGCCGATGCTGGCTCCCCGGTTTTTTCCCCCGGAGTCCCTTTCTCCGGCAGCGGAGGGAAGGCCTCCAGATAGGTGGGAATGTAGGCCTCATCCTCCGGGACGCAACCTGGCCCAGTGAGGCCAAAATGAAAACAGTAAGCAAGGAGATGGAGGGGGTAAAAACTAGAATACAAAGCTCTTAGCAGAAGATGAGAGGAGAAATCCTCAATGGATGCAACAGATCCTTCTATTGTTACCTGTTATCTCCTGGTCTTTGAGACCACTGCGATGTTCGGCAAAGCTCTCCGGGGTCAACACAGCCACTGAGCTCATGGTTTAAGACTTATTCCACTTTTCCACTAAAAACAAACACAACGTTATGGTACAACAGGTATGAATGAGAGCAAAAGGTTTATTTCGAAGAACGACTCGCCTCCTCCCCCTCCCGTCCCTGATGGGTGCTCACCCTGAGGACTGCTTTACCCAAAACCCCAGAACATCCCCCCTCCCCCCCTTCCCCTCTGTGACTGCTTCTCCACCTGAGATCCTCCAATTAGCACTTCTACACGCCTCAGATAAATACCCTACCCTCTCTCTGCCTCAGGGACGGAGGGGTAATCACAAGGCGACAAGGTGCATCTGCGGCTAAAAACAAGGGCTGCCGACATTCTTGTGATGCACGGTCACTACCTGCACTCCTGTTCTCCTTAAGGAGGTTCAAGGCTGCACGTGAAAAAACTGTTTCCGTGTGCACATGCGGCCTGCTGATCTAGAGACAGTGATTCACAATTATTGGCTATAGACTTCATGCAGGAAAAACAAAATGCAGTAAAACATATAGTGCAAATCATTCATTTTTAAAGGTGCAGTCAACATAAGCACAAAAAAACTTCCTTCAATGATCATGTAAATGTGCCATAATTGACAGATTTAAAGTTAAACAGAACAAAGCACTGCATTGAATTCATTTTATCTATCTTTTGAATCCAACTTTAAAAGCTGAACTTGAGCATATTCTTTTCTCCACTAAAATCTTCCAACAAATTTTGCAGCATGCATTCTTCTTTTGAAAACATGCAAATCCTTCAACATGCCGCCGCAGCAAAGCTCCACAATCACTTTCTTTCCCATTTCGACCCAGCATCTGACACATGTACTTATCCTCAGCTTTTATTAGAAATAAAAACTGGCATATTTAGAAAAATACATTAAAGGACGTAAAACTGAAAATGCAACAACATTTTAACAAAAAACAAGCATGCAGAGATGAAGCGATGAAGCAGCCAGTGAGTTAAAGCTGTGTCAGTTCTAGTATAAACCACCGAGCCGACGCAGGCTTACCTGCAAAAGGTCAATTGCCAGAGAGTCCGTCCAGTTAGCGGCTACCGAAGGCGCTTCAGTGTGAGTGTGTGTTTCAGCTCCTGCGTGCACAGGGGGGGAGGAAATACAAAGAGGCTGAAAGTGAACACCGTATATCAGGTGGAGCTTCAGCATGAGCTGAACGGCCACACTGCACTGCACCTCACACTGGCTGGAGATGATATTCGCTCTCCTCCTTCCTTCATTATTTGCTTCAGCCCTCCTCTGTGATTTCAACAAACACAAACCCCGGAAATGTTCGGGGGGGTGGGGGGCGATGCTGCAAAATACTGCACTGCAACAACTCTTAACTTTTTTCTTGTCTAATATCATGGAAAACAAACTATGCATGTTTATTACACAATATTTGATCAATAAAGAACTAGAAAACATGGCATACATTTGGATACTTGCTACCTGCTGTTTTTGTTTGTATTTTAAATTTAAAAAAACACATAGGAAGCTCCTCAAAGCTCCTTATTTCTTAATAAATAAACTTAAGAAATGTAGAAAACAGTTCTTATATTATGCATTTTATATGGCAAAAACATACAATATATGAACATATACTAATGATATGTATTAAAAAAATGCATTCTAAAACGGAAAATCTTCCCGTTTAAAAAGTCTGTGTACCATTACTCTAGCTAATGATTCAATTATGAAATATATTGATGATTAATTTAATAAATCAATGAATTAATCAGATGAATTGTTTCATCCCTAATGCGGTTCAACCTTGACTCCTCACTCTGGAGGAGCTACAGACGCCCACAGATCAGGTTGGAGAATTTTTTTTGACACCCTGAATATTAGTTCTGGACTCCACGCATCTGGGCTTTATTATATAACGTAAATAAAAACAAAACATGGACGTCCTGGTTCATGTGTTTACAGAAGTAATGCAGGACAGAAAGCAACCTGGAAGATTGCTTTTTGGCTTATATGCAGAATTATAAAGAAAAAATCCTAAATGCAGCAATTCCTGATGAAACATGGTGGTGGCAACATCTTGAGGTGGCGATTTTTAATTTTTTTTACAGAAACTAGTAAGCTGATCAAAAAAGGTCGGAAGATGTATGGGACTAATCAACACAGGGCAATACTAAAGAAAACCTGCAAGGAACTGCAATTAACTGAGGACCGGGGTTGAGCTAAAGCATGTTAGTGTATGTTAGCGTAGCACAAAATCAAGATCTAAATCAAGTGAAAATCTGCAACATCACTTTAAAAAAATGAGGATTAAAATCGGATTTATATCCAATCTTACTGAACCTGAACTATAAAGNGCCTTCCATAAAGGTTCATCTACATTTAACTTTTGCACTTTTTTCTTCACACTAGAATCACAAACCTCAATTTGTTGGATTTTATGTGAAAGATTGACTAATTAGGGATGCATAAAAGTTATCCTTATTCTCCAATTTTACCTTTAAAAATAAACATCATCGCTCCATTAAATATAACATACCAATGTCCAACTTTTTTAACGTTTCAGAGACAGACAGTCGGATTTCTAATTACAAAGACTCTACTGGACACAAGGAGAAAATTAATTTCTGTTAATACATTTAACAAATAAAATATAGGTATTAAAACAATTAATCGGACTAATTGTTTATTGAAATAATCGTCAACTAATTTTGTAATTGATTAGTCGTTAACTGGAGTATAGATACTCTAAAACATGTCTTTAGCTGACAGAGCAACCCACTTAGAGCAATATTTATACAAAAATTTTAAATAAAATATGCAAACATTTTGCAATTAAGATAAATAACTTTTTGTCTGTCAACACGCACTTTCCAGAACCCCTCAAGCCGAAAAGTTTTTGTTTCACCTAGTTTTATTCCTTAAAAAATCTTCTTTGAGGAACCTTTTGCTATCTGATTATTAATCAATGAATCGAACAACATAATCTACAGATTCATTGATTTGCAAAATAATCGGTAGTTGCAGCCCTAATCTCCACTATCGGAGAGGTAAGTTGGAAAATAATGGATATCAGACAACATTCTAATATCATGGAAAACAAACTATGCATGTTTATTACACAATATTTGATCAATAAAGAACTAGAAAACATGGCATACATTTGGATACTTGCTACCTGCTGTTTTTGTTTGTATTTTAAATTTAAAAAAACACATAGGAAGCTCCTCAAAGCTCCTTATTTCTTAATAAATAAACTTAAGAAATGTAGAAAACAGTTCTTATATTATGCATTTTATATGGCAAAAACATACAATATATGAACATATACTAATGATATGTATTAAAAAAATGCATTCTAAAACGGAAAATCTTCCCGTTTAAAAAGTCTGTGTACCATTACTCTAGCTAATGATTCAATTATGAAATATATTGATGATTAATTTAATAAATCAATGAATTAATCAGATGAATTGTTTCATCCCTAATGCGGTTCAACCTTGACTCCTCACTCTGGAGGAGCTACAGACGCCCACAGATCAGGTTGGAGAATTTTTTTTGACACCCTGAATATTAGTTCTGGACTCCACGCATCTGGGCTTTATTATATAACGTAAATAAAAACAAAACATGGACGTCCTGGTTCATGTGTTTACAGAAGTAATGCAGGACAGAAAGCAACCTGGAAGATTGCTTTTTGGCTTATATGCAGAATTATAAAGAAAAAATCCTAAATGCAGCAATTCCTGATGAAACATGGTGGTGGCAACATCTTGAGGTGGCGATTTTTAATTTTTTTTACAGAAACTAGTAAGCTGATCAAAAAAGGTCGGAAGATGTATGGGACTAATCAACAAAGGGCAATACTAAAGAAAACCTGCAAGGAACTGCAATTAACTGAGGACCGGGGTTGAGCTAAAGCATGTTAGTGTATGTTAGCGTAGCACAAAATCAAGATCTAAATCAAGTGAAAATCTGCAACATCACTTTAAAAAAATGAGGATTAAAATCGGATTTATATCCAATCTTACTGAACCTGAACTATAAAGTAAAAAAAAAAGAAAAAGAAAATAAACAAATCTCAGTCTCTGTATGACAATCATGTTTTTTTTTTTTTTTTTGTATTTACAATGGAAAGGTTGATTGAAAAGGAATATATTTGCAGTTTTTGCCCAGTTATTACCCAGTTTTTACAGTGTGGTTGCACATAGTTTAAATTAACTGTTTAACACGAAAACACTAAATGCATTTGGCTGGTCAATTTTTGAAATATAGATTTTATACTTTCCACTGAAGCAGAGCCATTTCAAAAACGGCAGAAACAGCACCTGCCGTCACTGCATTTCCTGAACAGTTATTATGAATCAATAACATATTGACTCTTATGCTAAATTTTTCTCCAGAGGAATCTGTGGATGCCGATGCACATGAAAAGGCACCAACCCTGCTTCAGTCAAGCCTGGGTAATTTCCTCCGCAAGGATAAAGTTTCTCCATGCGTCTACTCGGCATGATAGATGCTGAGCTGCGTCTCATCTGACAGCCTCCCTAAATGACACAGAGGACCGGGAAGCAGTTTCTAGACAGAAAACCTGTCGCAAAAAGCAAACACATTTGACCCGAGTGGTTCAAAGAGGATTAAATAGGAGGCCTGGAAACGCTCATCTTCAACCTCACAGAACCTCAAACAGCAGCAGTTTCTCTCAGGCTTAAACTAAAATATTAATATCTGCAATCTGAGCAGAGAAAATTACATCAGCTGCTTCAAAACGTTTGCAGTCTCTAATTAAAGCCGATGGTAATTATTTTAGGAAAATATCAACAACTATTTGCATTACTTCTTGCAGAACCTGAAACTGTGCTGTAAAAAAAGAGGAACCTTTATCCAATAAAACACCTGCAAACACAGACTGGACAAACAAACAAAACTAAAAAAAACAGTGTTATGCTTTAGATTAGGACATCTGCCTTTAACACTCTCCATGAGGAACCTCTCATGTTTCTACTTGTGACGTTTTCCACAGTCATAATATTATTTTGGTGCCTTTTCATGCACATATTCTCAAACAGATGGATTTCTTCACATCTGGAGTTTTGAGATTGTGGATGAGAGGTGGTTTATGCAGCAATTATTTCCCAACATTGCAAATGAAACAAGATGAATCCAACTAAGATAATCCTAAAAGAAATATTTAACTTTGGACTTCATTTGATATATGTGTGTAATAATATTTGAAAGCTATTGGAGCTTTCACAGTAAGAATCAGACTCACAAAATGGTTAATTATTGAATATGTGACTTCTTTCCAGATTTAAATAATCTCTTAGAGGTTGATAAAAAATGTAAGGAAAAGGTAAACACATGAAGTTGACATCATCCGCTTGATTCCATGCAAATACCAAGAATGGCACACACACGCAAAACAACTCCTAAAAAAAATCGACCAGCAGATGTCTCAGTCCATGACACGGCCCTCACAGGTTCAAGTGGCGGCCTGTTGACCCTAAAGCATTTCTTCTCAACTCTCCATCAACCCCATTTCCTGTCAGTTCAATTATGCAAAAATAAATAAAAATGATGAAAACTTTTAGGAAAAAAAGCCTCTAAAAGCCTCTAAAATCCAGAGCAACTTGCCTGAAGAAGTTACCTGATCAGCAACCCAGTTAATCAGGGTGTAATTCAGTATCAGCTGTTCTCTGAAAGCCTTGGATGTTTGATGATTAAGCGTTAGATGTCTAAGGAGTAGGGGTGCACCGATAGATCAGCCTCGGTTTCCTTAGGTTTGGGCGATCGGTGATTGGCCAATACTTACATGTCAATCTGTTCTTTTCCACAGATCTTATTTACATTTGCAAAGGTCCGAAAATCAAAGCTCTAAACTTTAATTTATATTTGAGAGCGGTAATTTCTGACGCTTTTATCATCTCTCAGGCAGTTATTGATGCCTTTCAGTAAGATACGATTGAAATATTGAAGGTGTCTTGAGATGTTATAACAACTGACAGTGTCGGTAACTAAAAAAAAAAAATCTGATTTGATCACAATCGAATTCTACATGTCAGGCTTTCAAAAGAATGGGAATCGCCGATCGACAAAGGTGTCAAGTAACGAAGTATAAATACTTTGTTACATTACTTAAGTACACCTATTATGTATCTATACTTTACTCCATTACCTATTATTCTTCCTACTTCTGACTTCTACTCATTACATTTTCACACAAGTATCTGTACTTTCTATTCCTTACATTTTTAAAACTAAAGCTACTCGTTACTCTCTTCTTCGGTTTAATGTTTATAAATATTTATTTCACGTCATGTGCGCCATCCAATGCAGATCATTGGCTCCATCCACATTTAGTGAAAACTAGTGTAACTGGATGAGTCATATAACGTAAACACTCATTGGTTAGCTAAATGAAATCATCAGAAGCAAGCAGGGGTTCTTCAAACTGCAAATGCGAATTGTCTATGCCATGCTACAATATTGGATTAACAAAAAGATGTCGAAATGTCTGAAAGGTTGGACACAGGCGAGACCAACAAGACCTCCCTCATCCTTGGCCCTATCTCAAAGAAATTTTCAAAATAGTCGAAAAATTTAGCTTTCAATTAATCTAGTATCATCTGGCTGTTTTTTTTATAAACGTTACTTTATACTTTAGGTAGTTTTTGGAGCACATACTTTTTCGCTTTTAATTGAGTAAAGAGGTCAAGTTGATACTTCAACTTTTACCAGTGTTTTTAAACTGCAGTATCTATACTTCTAGTAACAAATGTGTGTACTTTTGACACCACTGCCGATTGGTCAGAAACCTGCAATCAGTCGGTGCAGCCTAAAAAGCACAGAGGAAATGTACAGAATCTTAAATTGTGGAGAACCCGATTCCCTGAAGCAGGGATTAGGTTATAAACAAGATCAAGCAACAGTCTAAAGCAGGCATNCGAATTGTCTATGCCATGCTACAATATTGGATTAACAAAAAGATGTCGAAATGTCTGAAAGGTTGGACACAGGCGAGACCAACAAGACCTCCCTCATCCTTGGCCCTATCTCAAAGAAATTTTCAAAATAGTCGAAAAATTTAGCTTTCAATTAATCTAGTATCATCTGGCTGTTTTTTTATAAACGTTACTTTATACTTTAGGTAGTTTTTGGAGCACATACTTTTTCGCTTTTAATTGAGTAAAGAGGTCAAGTTGATACTTCAACTTTTACCAGTGTTTTTAAACTGCAGTATCTATACTTCTAGTAACAAATGTGTGTACTTTTGACACCACTGCCGATTGGTCAGAAACCTGCAATCAGTCGGTGCAGCCTAAAAAGCACAGAGGAAATGTACAGAATCTTAAATTGTGGAGAACCCGATTCCCTGAAGCAGGGATTAGGTTATAAACAAGATCAAGCAACAGTCTAAAGCAGGCATCCCCAAAGTCGGTCCTCAAGGGGCCGCAGTCCTGCAGGTTTTAGAGGTTTCTCTGCTTCAGCACAGCTGATTCTGATGATTGCAGTTCAGCAAAAGCCTGTTAATCAGCTATCAATGTAAATCAGCTGTGCTGGAGCAGAGAAACCTCTAAAACCTGCAGGACTTTGGCCCTGGAGCACCGACTTTGAGGATGCCTGGTCCAAAGGCTTCTTGTAATAGATCTTCCAAAGAGGGGAACAACTGCAACGCATGAAAACTTGGCGATCCAACAGGCAGGGTCAAAATGAGCATCATACCCTTAGGAAGTCTAGTCAGCCATTAAACACAATCAAACTGCAGTCCTTCAATAGGGGGGAAGAAGTTGATAAAATAAGAGGATAATTGAGCTTTCAAAAGGTGAATATTCCCCAGATTCAATAAAGAATATGTTGCAATGCTTGAAAACAATCAAAGGGGTATAGAAACTTTTACCCTTGTATGTAAACCTTTCAAAAATTTAATAATTTAATAAGGACATTTTAATAATATATATTTGTCTGTACTTTACAGAAAACATTTTTTCAAAGCATAAAAAATATTGGACAGCTGGGCTTCAAAGTGCAGCTTCTAATTGCTAAAACAAAAAGCTTGCTACGAATAAAAGCTATATTACACTGTAATGCCCATATGCAAAAGATGCAGGTCAAAGGCAAACACATTTATAGGTTTTATTAATCAGTCCGGGGCTCTATGGATTTCTAGATAAGTACTGCACTTTAAAAATAACTCGATTTTTATTTGCAATTGCATAAAAAATAACGAAGATATTGATTGTAGGTAATGATTTACTGGATGCGTTAAAAAACGAAAAGCAAAGTATAAGGAAAGCGAAAGGGACAAATATTTTGGTGATTTGGTAGCATTAGTAGCATGGTGCTATCAGTTCCCTCCGGATGAAGAAGAACCGTTAATCCTGACTGAGCAGCTCAGCGCACCTGAAGTCTGCATCTGCTTGATTGGACCGTTAGCCACTCGGCTAACCTCGCTAACATGGTGAAACCCTGGCTAATGATTTCAATCCGCTATGCGGATATGCACGGCACTGAACCGGCTTCAGCGATAGAACAAATGCTCATAAGGACTTTTAGACAGTCAGAAAAAAACACAATAAACATAAAACAACAAGCCTCGCGAGGACAGATAACCAGCTTCAGCTCCGGCTAGCTAGCTCCGGACCTCGCTATCCCCTCATCCTCATCCAAAACAAACGAGCCGGTTTATTTGCCAGCCATAACTACATCCAGGCTTGGTGCATTTTGCTCAAATTTGTGTGAAATACACGACTGAAAATAAATAGAGAAGCCCTACCTTTCAGAGAGAAATATAGCAGAAAGTGTTTGACAGGTGTCGGTGTAAACACAAACGTGATTGGTCTACGAGCACTTCCTCTGCCCGCGGAGGGATACGACAAGCGGGCTCTGCGGCCGCCGCGTAGAGAGCGAATGCCGCAGTATCTCTGCGCAGCAAGAGCAGCCCAGTTAAATTAAACAGATGTGCTTTTCTTTACATTAATACAGCACAGAAACAGAGACGTTCAACCGGTTATCCACATTAGAACAATGAGGTGGAGATATGAAACACTGTAAAACATAAAATCAGCGTCCTTTTCCCTTTCACATTCATCATGCCTGCCTGCGCACTCCTCAGTGGTTAAACCATTGATCAGTTCATTGAAAAAATGCATTTCTACAACAGCCTTTCAGGACAATGGCAGATTACTATATATGTAAACAACATATATATCCTGGACCCAAACATATACATATTAAATATTGAACAAGGTGAAATACTACAGTGGAGCAGATTATTCAAAAATAAATCTCATATATTCTCATTTTATTTATTTTTTTTGTGTGTGTGTGTGTATTTTAATTGTGATTTCAAAATAAAGGCATTGACTTCAGCAGTTTTTGAAATTGATCACAGATTCATCTGATAAATGTTATTTTGAACCAAATAAAATAAAACTAAAAACTTTTTACATCTGGAATGACCAGTTTTTCTTAAGTTCTAATTCTGATTGTATTATAACTTGGAATTTTAATTTGAATAACTAAAAAATATCTAATATTCCTGAATTATAAATGTACATTGACATAATATTATAAAGACTGGCTTAATTTAATCTTTAAGTATATATTAATTTAAAAGCTATAAGTTGCTTTTTCCATGGTGAGGGATTTCTTTAAATTTAAGGTAAATAAATTAAAAGCTGTGAAATTTTCACTTCATTAATTGCGAAGCCACAAGTAGCTCTGTGGCTCTCTAATATATTTTGTATAATATGATAACCTATTACCCTGTTTTTTATGTTTTTCTGTCACAAAAATACGCTGACCCCAACATTAAATTTGGTCTTGAACCTACAATGAAATCTCATAATAGTTTCTGATACATCATATCAAATTTGTTTTCATTTAAAAATACTGGATGCTATAGGAGTCAATTCTATTAAAAAAAATAAGTCAAAATTATGTATGAAATCCATGCGTAAAATAAGCTTCTGTTTCCGTTTGCTTTGTTTCTTCATATAAGAAACACACCGGTTAAAAAAAAAATATTAACTCAATGTATTGTACAAATTTTTTTATTAACTACCAAAGATCCATGATCAAATGACTTAAATAAAATAAAAAAAATAAAAATGGATGCTGTTTGGAATGATGTCTGCATGATTACAACATGATAAGTATTTAAAGGTTACAATTTTCTAGGCCATGTAAATCAAAGCTGCAAAAGATTTTTACTTGTACAATTTTAGAGATAAAATCTGTGGAATAGTTGAACTTAATATATTTAGATGCTTTTTCATTCAGTGTATGTTCTACTTTAAGACACTAGATGGGAGTAGCAAACAAGATACTGTTGAAAGGGAAACAAGTTAAGTGCGCAGTCGTTATGGCAATACAACAATATGAAGTAAAAAAAAAAAAAAAAAAAACAGTAACGTGAAAGTTCCTTCTAATTCTCATGGTGTTCGGTGTGGTGTTACCAGCTTGGGCAATATCTTATATGTTTCAGAATGTATGACATTATTGATACAAGAGGTGGGTATGGTATACCTAAAATTTAAACTTATTCATCCTTTTTTTTTATTTCAGTTTTATTTTTAAAGTAAAAAAGACCCATTAAAAAAATTACTGAGGTAAGAAAAAAAAAAAAAACACTTCAGTAAGACCCAAGTACTAGAAAACAAATAACACTATGACATATATATATAGTAATATAAATGAATAATATAATGTAAAAAAAAAAATCCATCCATGAAAAACACCTTTGAGAATCACATTTGTTTTAACATTCAACTTATGAAAACAACACCCGCAATAGGAAACATATACATGTTAGAAAGTAAAGCACCTGTGACAGTATCTTATGTTTACTGTAAGCTTGACATTAAAATGTCATAGAAGGCCCATCTGAGGAAAATGAGCTTGTGTATGAAAAACAATATTCATTTGAACATAACCTTGAATTCAACCTGGAGTATATCTGTCTTTGAAAAAAGCTTGATCTTCAGCCACTTTAGGTACTCACAGTCGATAGAGTGGCCCTAAACATTTGCCCCAGAAAAAGCAGTGATACTTCATAATATCAATACTAAACTCACAGTAGTTTTTCATTTGTTGTTGTTGTTGTTTTTAAGTATGCTGCAGTAAACCTTCTCCTTAAACTATTAGATTACATTTACTTAAATAACTCAGTGCTAACAATGAAACACCTTTGGTGGATAATAACCTTCTGGAATGGCAAATGTGTGCTGAATGCTCAGCTCTGTGTCAGGAATCCAGCCAGCAATTTATACTGAACAATTCTGATAATAAGATTGTTAACAAAGAATTTGCCAGAAGGTGAATGACTGCAGACAGTATTTGGATTTCCTGTAATCTACATATGCAATTTCCTGCAATCTACATTTACCATGCAAAGGTGGCCACTCTGCATGCATGTTAAAATACTTGTTGTTGTTTTTTTGTTTTTGTTTTTTTGTATTTAGACCAATATACTCTATTCATCTATACCCTATATATGTTTTACTGTTACTCAGTACTGGACTTTTCCAGCTTACTTTCCCCCCTGGGTAGAAGAGAAGATATATACGTCTCTGTAAGTCATCTAGAAGTTTTCAGTGTAATTAAGGATAAATAACTACTAAATCAATTTTATTAAGGTATTAGTAAAAATGAGTTAATGTGTAGATATTTATATTAGGCATAACAGATAAGTATGGAGGACAATTTCTCTGTAAATGTAGGCAAGAAATAGCAACAGATAACATCTTTCCCAGAGGCGTAGCCAGAACTTTTTTATAAGGGTGGCCAGGCAATACCCAATGTAGACTGAGGGGTGGCCGAAAGCGGATAGGCATGAGAACCTCACGGTCAATCTAAACTGTTCCAACAGGAAAATTCTGCAATTGCACCCATCAAATGTCGCTTGCGTCTGGTCGCGAACCAGTTTTGCTGGTATGCTTCTGCAACGTCGGTCTGGAATTTCTAGGGACGCACAGCAGTTTCCTGCCAAAGCGCTAGGGGGAGGGGGAAATTTGTGATCGGATGATTACCAGAACTTCTTCGGCGGCGCTGGCAGGAGTGTTAATTTTCCAAAACAACATGTCTGAGGCATCCTTCAAGTAGTTGTACTCCCGAACCTCCTCAATCAAACTTTCGCCGTGGTTATCCATTGCTGTTGTTACTCCTCAGTTTTTAAAAATGGCGTGCCTCGGCATTGAATCGAGAAGGACAACCACACAGACAGCAAGAAAGGCATACAAAGGAACAATCACAGCTGCTTTTTGTCTGCGCACTTTCGCTGGAGGTCTGCGCTGGATTGCAACCGTCCGACGCGTAGTCAGGATTTTTTTCTAGGTGTGTGACGATGGTTGCAGAACCTCTGAGATAGATTAGATGGTTGCAGAGTAGAGACTGACACGGGAGTGGATTTTCACTCCTGTCCCGTCCCACTCCCACAGAAAAAAATTGTGTCC